CACAGCTGCTACGAGCCGGGGCACATCAGGAGGAACTGCCCCAAGATCAAGAACAGGGCGAAGAAGAAAACGAAGCCCGCCGGAGCTACCAAGTGGTGCTCCAAGCACAACACCACGTCTCACTCGGACGAGGAATGCTACCAGCAAGGAGGGAAGCGCCCGGAAGACACCAAGGACTCAAGTAAAGCATTCACCGCGTGCTCCGACTGCACTCACTGCTCGTCGGCGTCCAACAAGCACGACTCAAACAATGAAGTGGCAGTTGTCGACTTCACCCAGGACGAGGACGCCTTCGACAGCGGCTTCATGTTCGGCACGTGTTCCCGCATCCAACTTCGCCGCGAGCTCCACCGGGGTAGGACTGCTGGTAGACACGGGAGCATCGGAGACCATGTTTGACGATCGCCTCATCCCCGACGGAAACCTTCAAGATTACACCCAGCGAAACTCTCCAAAGATCGTGGACGTGGCCGGAGAAAGCCAACTCAAAGGCACGGCCACGGGCGTCCTAAACTGCACCGTCAAGGACAATCAAGGACAGCAATTGCGTGTACGGATTCAGGGACTCATCGTTCCGGGACTTGGTCGCAACAGTTTTTCGCCCACCTCCCTCCTGAAAAAGGGATTGCGCTGCGTCGTCGAAGAGAGCACTCCGCACCTCGCTATCCAAGGCAAAGTGATTCCACTCACACAAGATCCGCGAGACCAAGGCATGTGCACCCTCGACATCACGTTCGAGCAGAACGTCCAGCCATCTGGCACGACATCCGTCTTGCCCCACCAGAAGCAGTCACAGACCCACACGGCGAACGCCGTCTGCTTTACGCTTGTGAGTGCGGACACCTGGCACAGGAGGCTTGGACATCTCAATGCTCGGAGCCTGGACATCCTTCGGAAGGACACGGGTACCGGGATGGACAATCGCGACAGTCTCTCCCCTTGCGGGGTCTGCCAGATCACGAAACACAAGCAGTCCCCCCACCAAAAGCAATCGACTCGCGAACTATCACGGCCTGGACAGGTTGTGGTCATCGACAACATGGAGCCTGGTAATCCACCTGCGAAATACGAAGGAGCCTCCTTCCCGTACGCGTGCAAGATCACCGACGACGACACGAAAATGAAAGAAGTGTACCTGCTTCGCAAGAAATCTGACACGA